GAGATTAAGGACTATTAGGAGCGCGTTAGATTAATCCTTTACACCTTAATTATAGTACGCCCTAATATTACCTATATAGCCTCCTAGCTCTCCTAATACCTTACTAACCTATCTAAACAACACTTTAATGTAGTTAATTAAGTAATCGTCTATCTATACTAAACTTAATACTAATTAATCTAATATAGGAATAGGGATCCTAATAAGCTTATAATATATAGTAATACGTTATTTGCTAATAATATTAATACTTAGTAATTATTATATAGATACCTAATCACGCTCTTTAGAGGACCTATTATTTAGAAGGCAGCTTAATAATTAACTGTTACTACTTTAACTACTAAGGTAGAGCTCCTTGCGCTTAAGCAAGTAAGCAAAGAAGCAATAGTGTTAAAACACTTTTTAACTAAAATACACCTTACTTTAGATACTACCTAGATAATTAATTGTAATAATTAATAAACTATTAGGTTAGTAGTAGGTAATAATAAAAGGATTACTACTAAGCTGCGCTATATAGATATTTAAAACATGTGGCTTAGGCAAGAGTATATAAAGGGATCTTTCTATATTACCTACCTACCTACTAGTAATATGCTAGCTAATAGGCTTACTAAAAACCTAACTATATAATAATTTATAAGGTTTAGGGAGTACCTAAAGTTATATAATAGCAGAGTATATATTATATAGTATTAATTAAAGTAAGGTAGTATATAAGATCTATTAATATATAATATAAAAATAACTAACTATAGCTTACCTCTCTATTATTAACTAGGTAGCTTCCCTAAGGAGCTCTATTACGCGCGTAAAGCGTGCCTTAGAGTCTATAGGGAGCTACCTAGGTTGCCCTATCCTAGGATCTATAGGGGGAACCTTAGAGGAGCTAAAGTCCTTATCTTCTAATAAGGAGCTCTAGGCGCCCTTAGCTATAGAAGTAGCCTTGCGCGCAAGCTTAGTAGTAGCAGTAGCAGCTTTTACTAGCTCCTACTACTTAGCCTTGCTCTCCTTAAGGAGCACTAAGACCCTCCTCTTCTTATCCTTAAGAAGGTCTTAGCTCTTACCTACCTACTTCCTTACTAGGAAGGATAGCATAGAGTATTAGGTAAGCTTAGGGCTATTAGTTTATTAGTATAAGATCTTACTAAGTATTATAAAGGAAAAATTCTTATATAGATTATATATATTAGGATATAGCTATACCTAAAGGAGCACTACTAGTACTAAGTCCCCCTACTAGAAGAGTTATAGTACTTGCTATTAGACTTATTAAAGAGTACTAAGTATAGATAATTTAGATAAGTTTTAGCATAATAAATACTAGGCTCTCTATAGTAGGAGGATCTTAGGGTCTCCTTAGGAGCTAGAGAGGGAGCAGGAGCAGGAGCAGGGGCCTTAGGAGGGGTCTAGGGAGGAGCAGGAGCTAGAGTTAGAGTTAGAGCTAGAGTAGTAGGAGCTAGAGCAGGAGCACCCTTCCTTAGCTTTATAATCTTAGCTATAGTAGTAGTAGCTGCGCGCTTAGCTACTACACACTCTACTATAGCCTTACGCTTAGTAGTAGCGCGCTCTTCTTTAGTAGTAGTAGCTTTAGTAACTATAGCTTTAGCTGCGTAGGAGGTAATAAGGGCAGCGTAGGTAGAGTAAGCGTAAGTAGTAGGTTTTAACTTTAACTAAAATAGGTTAGTAGGGATATAAGTATAGTTTAGATCTTTAGGGTTAGATAATCTTATAACTTAAGCTATAGTAAAGATTATAGTTAGGTAGATAGAGTTATAGAGCTCTATCTAGATAATATCTACGCGCGCAAGCGCAGGCTAAACAAGGAAGGCGCGCTAGTTAGTATCTAAAGAGTAAGCTAATTTAACCCTTTAGATATATAACGCTCTAATTAGCTACACCACCTACTAACTATAAGCGTAACTATAATAACAAAAGATCTACCTATACCTAGGGGGTGTGTTATAGGAGGGATATTAACTAGATTACAGAGCATCTTAATCCTAATTAATCCTAATTAATCCTAATTAATCCTAATTAATACCCCTGTATAACCTACTATCTAATTAACTACTAGCTTACTGCTAAGTGCCTAATAAAAAGCAGGAGCTCTAGTAAGGAAGGTTTACTAATTATTTACCTTCTAGTAAGGGTAGCTAAAGCTCTATATATATAAGTACAATTGTAGTAGATATAATCTAATAATCTATCTCCTAAATTATTCCTAACCTTAGTAATCCAAATTTCAACACCTCTTATATAACATATCTATCTAGAATATGTCTTAATCTAATAGAATTAATGCCTACTCTTTAAAAAGGCAAATAATTAAGTTACCTAAGCTTAATATAAAGATTTGCTATATATACGCCTATAGTAATATATTAGTAATATATTCTAAACCTGTTCTCTTATACTATATATAGTTTTAGGATCCTAATACTTTATCCTCTACTTATAGTATACTCCTCTAAGGCTACTCTTAAATAGGAACTATAGAAGCTTTTTACGCTTTATAATACGCAAGATTTTATCTTTATTTGCAAAGCTAATATACATTTCTTTAATAGAATAGAAACCTTTAAGTTAGAGATAGGTTTAGAGCTAGGTTAAGTTTAGGAACTAGGCTATAATAAGTTAGGAATATATTTATAATAGGTTATAAATAACTTATATTATATAAGCTATAGAGTAAGTATAGGCTATAACACCTTTACTACTTCCTTAATATTACTATTAGATAGTGTTAAGGGAGGAGGAGGTATATATATATATATACTAAAAGAAATAATAGTAAAAAAAGGTATTACTACTATATCTATTAGTATAATTACTTAGAAGGTAACTTTATATAGGATTTTAAATAGAGATCCTTGCCCTTATAGATAATTAACGCCTAGAATATATTAGGAATATATTAGAAATAGGTTATAATATGCCTACTACACTTCTTTATCTAGCTTAACTGTGGCTTAACCACAGAATATAAAGCAGGACTACTAGAAAGATTTAATATCTCCCTAGTTAGAAGACCTTATAGATATATAGAGTCTACCTCTAGTAGTACCTAACTAAAATAATATTTTTTCCTAGTAGCAGATATTAGGCTATAGTTCTAATAGCTAATATATAGTTAAGCCTATTCTATAATTTACTAACTTGTTATTAATATGTTTTAAATATATTTAAGTTTTACTCCCTACCTAATTTACTATAGTCCTTATTATAGGATAATAAGACACCTAGTAGTCCTTATAAATCCTTAAAGAGAAGCGCTTAATAAGGCTATAATAATAGCTTCTTATTTATAGTTCTCTTTGTAGAATTTTCTTAAGTACTATACTTTTTAAGGTTTAAATCTAATTATATAATATATTATTAATAACGTAATAAGAATATATTTATAACGTGTTCTTAAGATACTTACATACTTTTACCCTAAAGTATTAGTATTTATACTAGCTTGCTAGCTAGCTATTAAAGAATAGTAAAGTTGTAGGCCTATTAAGATAGATAGACTAGCGGGAGTATTATACCTGCTAGAATTAGAATAATTTAAGAACGTGTTCTTAACGTGTTACCTATATAGCCTATATAAGCACCTCTTCTCTTATTAGGTAAGAGCTATCTTTATATTACTAAACTAGTATTATATACCTATACCCTTAGCTATATAATTAAGGGTATACTAGGAGAATAGCTATATACTTAATAATTACTAGTGTAAGTAGTAGTCCTTAACTATTACTATAAGTAAGGTATATATTATACCCCTATAATATATTACTAACCTATTCTAAACTTGTTCTATTTACTTTTACTTACTTCCTTAACACTACTACTACTATCCTCCTTTAGTACTTTATATAGTTACCTAAATTTTATCTCTAATATTACTATCTAGTTTAGATATATTATCTAGTACTACTATACTAAACTCTAGTATAGTATTTAGGAACGCCTATATATTATTAAGAATAGGTTTAGAATATATTTAAAAAAGATAGTAATAAAAACTATATTTACTTACTTAAATTATCCTAATTTATACTTAACTATAGGCTAGTTTATATAACTATAAAAATTTGCTACTATAACGTGGACTTGAACCTACAGGGATATTCTAACCACTCAGAGTAAAGCCCAAGTCGCCCGACGCTAAACCCATGGTCATATGACATGCCACCACCGTTTGACGCATGGGTGACGTGTGGCCAATCATAACGTGAGGAGGGGAGAGCCGCAAAAACCTTCCAATTGTGCTTGAGCTTTGCACCCATGGCCAACTTGGATTCAAGCTTCAAGCTTTCAAGCTTCATACTCCTACAACGAATTCCTAGCACTCTCTCACACAAACATCATCCAACTTGTTGCCTACACCCATCGCCCTCACCTCCATCAAAACGACACCCTTTGCCTTTGTAAGCCCGGTACATTCCCGGTAAGCTCGTCTTCATCGACACCTACTAGAAGAAGAACACCTGCCTAGACAGACCCAAGATAGCCCATGACTTTGTCTCGTCATCAATATCGAGTTTCGGCCCTCGGGACTCTTGGCACGTATGTCTGTACCAGTACAGTACCCCAAAAAAGCGGTCAACACACCCATGCCGCCTCCGTCTACGTTGCATCTTACACGTCAACAACAAGGCTGTGTAAAGAGTTTGTGGTGTGCAAAGCTTGCAGCTTGCACTGCACTGTATGTAGGTGGGTGGCATTGGACAGTACTATCAAACTGCATCGTCGTGTACCGAGTTCTTACTAATGATGATGATGCTGATGCTGATGCTGATGCTACTCCTCCTAACCCATCGATTAATGCAAAACCCCAAGGCCAAGACCACCAACCCCATGCTTTGCTGATGCAGAGAGAGCCACCCAGAAAATTGGTAGGATTAAGAAATTAAAACCAAGGAAAAAAGGGTGCAAACCATGCAATCGATAAACACGGCCCTAGAAGAAAGCAATGTAAGGTAGTCATGACAAACTCCCATGCATCAAAGACTCGATCCCAACCGCTCATCTCCGCTGTTGCGCTTACTGGGCCGTTTCTTCGCTTTGCCTTTTCGCTTCGCCAGCTCATTCGGAGGAGTCGGACTTCCACGACTTCCCATCTGACTCTCGCCCGTCTTGAGCCCCTTGACCTCCTGAAGCATGTCGCGAAACCCTTCCTCGAGCGTCGTCATCCTGGCCAGCATAATCCGGCTCATGCGGTTCGAATCAGAATCAACATCGCTGCCTTTTTGCTGTTCGCGCGCCTTCTTCATCCGTGCCGCCATTTCAAACTGCGTGGTAAAGGAGGCGGGCAAGGCCAATGCATCCAGGTTCCCAAAGTTCGGATTGAGATTGTTATCCCCAAGATCCGATGCCAGATCCAGAGCCACGGCGTTGAAAGAGGGTGCTCGATCTCTCTGATTGAGTGCCAGGAACGTTGCCATGTTGGGTACTTGACGCCCAGAATCTCGTGGTGGCATGATGGTGCGGGGGCGCGATGCAGCAGCTGGAGGACCAGGGCCGCGCTTCGGCGTCCGAACACCGCTCATGATGGCTCCATCAAAGCGTGGTGTTGCTGTGCCCGTCGCTGTGCCACTGCGTGTACCCGTCTTCGGGCGCTTCTCGGGAGACGTTGGCCGTGATGAGTTCATGCTGTCTTTGGTTGGACTGAACAGCACAGTGCTGCTTGAAGCGTTGCGAGCATGGCCCGTTTTAGTCCGCAGGACCTTTTTGTTTTGTGAAATAGGCACAACTCCCTTGAGGCTGGACTGGGATGGGGAGCCCACAACGCGAGGCGGGGATGCTCGTGACTTGGGAATGGCCGTCATTGGAGTGCGGAACAAATCATCATCTGAAGACTGATATCCAGTCTGAGGCCTTTTGTTCTCCTTGGCTACCAAGATGTCGCCTGTTGGAGTGCTTCTATGATCTGTGCTTGCATGATCATCCTCGTCGTCTCCATCAGCGTCAGTTTGCTGAGGAATCTCCATGCTCAGGTCAGGCTCTTCCTCCTCGGCGATAGGTCGAGTAAAAGAGGTTATAAAGTTCTCATCAGGGTCTGATACTACAGTCCGGTTTGCAAGAGGGTGCTTGCGCCTGGAAAGCCCGGATGTCTTGCTACGCCGCAGATAGGGACGCTTGCGCCCCTCGAGTCGGTCTAGGACTGATCGAGAGTCATCTTGCGGTGGCTCGTTTTCATCATCATCACCCATTCTCTTCATCCAGTCTGCCACCACATCCCCGGAATTCCTCCGGCCGGTAGGGTACTGTTGTGATGGCGTTCGTATGCTCGCGTCACGATACGGCCGACGAAAGACCTCTTCGAGTGCGCGATCTTTGTGGAATGTGGTCACCGAGGGCTCTCGCAGCCGGGGACTGAACAAATCCACTGGCCCACGAATGCTGAACGCTGGAATAGGGGACTTGTCATCGGAGCGACCTCTCCTTTCGACTAGGTCAGTCGGTCCGTAGGCAAGATGCGAAAGTAGCACGCGTTCGTAAACGAAGATGATGAACAGGATGGGAATATGTGTCAGCTTGATGACAAGGCGGTTCATGCGCAGGAATTTCTTGAATGACATCGTGTACTTGAGTGGGATGAGAAGCCACCCGATAATGTTCGTCGGAGCAATATATGAAAATAGCGCGTCCGATTTGACCATCGAGATCGTATTGACAGCAAACAGAAATTGGTGCTCCTCCTCGGCATTCTTGACAACGGCCATAAAGGAGTTAGTCAGTACTGTGACGAGGATGGTGACGATGAGGACTAGAGCAGATTGTTAGTGTTTTGAAGAGAACCCAAAGTGCATAAATGCAGGCAAAGTTGCTTACAGTGACAGATGAACAGGAACAGTGCAAGCAAACTCTTTCCAAGAATGTTCATCTCCGGCCACAGGTCCCACGCAGCTGGCGTGAAACCCATGACTAGCTGGAAGATGGCGTAGGCGGCATCTGATGCGCCAAGATCTCTCTTGAACGCAAGACTGAATGCAACGAAGAAACCACTGCAGCTGATGACGATCAATACGAGGATCGCCACGAGGTCCATCGCCATCATCTTGAATGCGATGAGCAGCTGAGAGAAGTAGCGGTAGTGATCCAGAGCCGAGAAAAGGCGCGGGAAAAGCAGGACAGCGGTTGAACCGAGGACATCATACGCCATGGCCGCAACTCGGTGTCGACTCACGTCAGGCATAAGGATGCCGTATAGGCGCAGGATATAATAGGCCATGAACATGAGGAGGATGCCTAGGTCAAAGGCATTCCAAACACTCATAATGTAGAGCCCAAAGCCCTGCTCCGAGAAGCCCACGACCTCGTCCAACATGTAGCCTGCACTCCAGAACCAGAACAGGACTTCCAAGCCGGTGATATCATCAGACTTTTCTGCAAGCACGGCCAAGAACAGGCCCAGCATGATGCCGTAAGACAGGGTCGAGAAGAGATTGCGGTATCTGGGTACACGTAAACGCGACAGCTTGAACAGCGAGGCGTCATGGGGGTCGTAGAGCGTGACGGTTCTTCTGAGCAGTGCGGTAGGCGGAAGTGGAGCTGGCGATTTCGTGGGCGAGAGACGACGGGACGGTCCCGCCCTGGGAGACCTGTTGTTGTCGAAGGCATCATAACCGCGTCCTTGAGGAGAGTCGGGTTTGCGATGGAGGTTGTCCGCGGCGGAGTGGAAGACAATGGTTCCTGCCCAGATGGCTTCCAATTGACGGACGACCAGTGGGTGGGCGAGAAACTTCTTTGCCTGGGCGCGGATGGCAATTTCGAGCGTCGAGATGCGCGCAGAGCGGAGTGCTGGCCGCGCCCAGTTGGGGGTGTTGTTGCTCCTGCTCTGCGCCTGCAGACCCTGCAGTGGATCGAAGTCGTAGGAGAGCGCATCGATCATTTCCCGTGTCGAAAACTCCTTCAGCAGGCGCATAGCCAGCAGCTCACAGATGAGTGCTCTTGTCTTGCTCACGCCCATATTCCCAGGATTCTCCTCGGCCTCCTTCCTGAACTGCAGGCAGTTTGCGAGCAGGCAGTAGAGAGCGCCACGCGAGAAATGGTCTGAGCGAATCTGCTGCTGAATTGGCTTGACGAGGAACTGGGAGACCTGGGGCGACCGTAATTGGTCCCATGAGAGCGTCGTCTCGCATCGCTGCACGAGTACTATGCGGATGGCGTGGGTTGTGCTGTAGATGGGCAGTCGGTCTGTACAGTGCGTTAGCTGAGTGTGGGTAGTCCAGGAGTGCTTTGTGAGTGTACCGAGAAGTTCAGATGAGAAGACTGGAAGCAGAGGTCCATCGTGGCGGCGGCGGTCAAAATTCTCCTCGTCGTCCTCGTCCTCGTACTGATCTAGTCCTGGCGACTCGTCTGGCTCAGAGGGCTCTCCATGTTGGCGACTGCGATATCTGTTGAGGGCCGCAAGCAGAGGCGTGCTTTCCGATGGCTGGCTCTTCTTGGACCGCAGGAGTGAGGCGAACATGGACGAGAACACAGGAGTCCAGAAGAGAAGCTGTGCTCGACTGCGGTCGTGGGGACGAGGGCGCAGAAGACGGGGGCGGGTGGTGGGTTGAAAATAGATGGGGTAGTGGTTGCACCCTTGGACGCTTGCTGCTTCACTGCGGCCTGGAACCCCCCCGACCAGAGAAATGAGCAAGGAGGGTACCGGTACTGCTACTAGGAAGCCGCTCCTTGCCCATTTCGTCCTACAGTCGGCCTGCTACAACGCCTCCACAAACAGGTCAGTTGGAGGTTGCAACAGATCATGGGACGGTGAAGGGATCGCGGGCCTTATCTTGATTTCTCCAGCCAATCGTCGTTGAGGCCGGAGGGCATGCACATCCATCTCAAGATGTCCGGGATGCGCGCAGGACACACGAACCAGCGGATTACCGCGCAGACACACACTATCCACACGTTCACCACCCCTACCTCGTCACCAACGTGGCGCAGACTGCCCATGCTTCTTCCACTGGGTGTAGTGTGCGATGCTGGGAACTGCACTGGCTCTGTTCTGCTCTGCATGCTCTGCATGCTCTGCCAATCTCCCATCTGTCCCATGGCAATCTCTCTCCATCGCACATGATAGCCATCTGGCCATGTCGAGCTTTGTGGCGCGTCTGTCAAGCGGCAAGTGTGCCAGGATGTCTCACCAGCTGCAGAAACAGGCGATGGTGTCATGGAAGCGATGAACTGTGAGTGGGACGCTGTGAGTGGGACGCTGTGAGTGGGACGCTGTAAGTGGATATCCGAATCGCGCATGCACACCTAGGCGATCTGGGGTGCAGCCCTGGAGGCCTCTCTCTCCTCTCCCTCTCTCTCTCTCTCTTTCTCTTTCTAGAGTACTCCTCGGTATACATACCCACTGCTTTTCACATGCTTGTAGCTTACATACGAGACCTGCTCACAGTATGATTGTACAGCCTCAAGCCCTGGTAGTGCCCCTCTCCTCGTACTTCACCCAACTCTATCTTGTCCTCCTCTAGGTCAGTGCACGACGGCAAGGGGTCGTCCCGCATCCCATCTCGATATGGATCTACTCCCATTCCATGTGCCACACGCAGCTGCCATCGGATGATGCTGATGGCCTCAATCATCTTGGTCGGGCTTGCTGAAGTTTCAGCGTCCACGAGCGACATACATGAACAGCACTTGCATCGCGATGTCGTCGTTTGGCAGAGCCCCCCCACGCGCATCATCTGCTCCACTTCATCAAGGGGTGCTCCCTGCAGCCATGCCATTGGTAGAGTAGCGGGACGACTCGAAAATAGACATCCCTACAAGCCTTCACCGCCTTTGTCGCCATGTAACTCATACTGCACAGCTCGCCCGAGGAAGACCTACCGCATCTTTCAACGAGGATGCAGGCAGTCGACGCGATGATGCTTGGTCGGCTGACACAAAATGCTGCTGGATGTGACGTGACCCTCCTCCATACGCCTCACCACTTACTGCTATCCTTTGCCACTAGATGTTTTGCGGCACATCAAGCGAGTCAAACTGCTCAACGAAGCACTCGTGCTTTCTTTCTATACGGGACATTCGGCCAATCCCGCCATCATCAGACGTTGCATTTCCCTGAGCGACGATCAAGATGTCCTTCATATAGCTCGAGCTCGAGCTCGAGGTCGATGTCGACATTGCACCCGAAATTCCTTTCGTAGCCTCTTCCCCCTGCCAAAATTCTACAGTAGCTCACTACCCAAAAAGCGTTGGACAACTTCACGAGCTGTGTGCACTGTATACCTTGTACAGCGTCCTCACACCATGGCACGGCTCTACCCCCATGCTTACCATGTACCTTTTGCAAAAAATATAGCAATTTTTTGCAACATTTTTTTCTTTCAAAAATACTAGATTCGTGCCGCACATTGACGATTCTCGGCGCAAGACGTTGCGCGCTAAAACAGTAGCGCGGGGCAGACCAATCGGACCCCTCACATGTCCAAGTGCTTTCTCAGACTTTTTTTTTCAACCAGAGGCTCAATTCACTCTCTTCAAACCATTGTACGGCAGTCTCATTCAAAAAGGGGTAGTAGAGCCCTGGAGCTGTCTCTCGTTCTGCAATCATGGCACCCCACCCAGATGAAAGCCAAAATCTGGCCCTTGAGCTCCAAGATGGCTACGTCTGCTTTGGTCGCAGTTTTGGCGCGGAAAAGAGCATTGCTGGAGAACTGGTCTTCCAGACGGGTATGGTGGGCTACCCCGAATCCATCACTGACCCTTCCTACCGCGGCCAGATTCTGGTCATCACATTTCCTCTGGTAGGCAACTATGGCGTCCCCTCGCGCGAGGACATGGACAGCCTGTTACAAGGCGTCCCAGCACACTTCGAGTCGAGTGAAATTCACATTGCCGGATTGGTGGTCGCCTGCTACGCTGAAGAAGAATTCTCGCACCATCTGGCGACTTCATCCCTCGGCGCCTGGCTCAAGGAGCAAGGCGTGCCTGCAATCACAGGCGTCGACACCCGAGCGCTGACCAAGCGCATCCGAGAGGAGGGAGCCATGTTGGGACGTCTGCTCCAACGAACAGGCCCCTCTCCCCTTCGTACTATATTTTCAAAAATCACTAGCGGAACCGAGACCCCAGACTCTCGGGAGCCTACCGAGGAGGATAGCGAGCAGTGGAGGAGCAGCTTCGAGCAGCTCGAGTGGTCGGATCCCAACACGACAAACCTTGTGGCTGAAGGTGAGAAAAAAAAGTCTGGCCATGCCTGAATACAGCTGACATCGGTATAGTCTCTATCAAAGAGCCCAAGCTTTGGTCTCCTGACCCTGCCACAGCCCTCAAACACCCGTCTGGTCGTACCCTCCGCGTTCTTACTGTCGATGTCGGTCTCAAATACAACCAATTGAGGTGTCTTGTCCGAAGAGGAGTGGAGGTTCTGCAAGTTCCATGGGATTATGACTTCCCTCAGCTTGCAGGCAAAGACTACGATGGCCTGTTCATCTCCAACGGCCCTGGCAACCCAGCCATGATGGAGTCCACCGTGAAGCATATCAAATCTGCCATGGAAGAGGCGCGAACACCTATCTTCGGTATCTGTCTCGGTCACCAATTGCTTGCTAGGGCCGCAGGTGCAGACACCCTGAAAATGAAGTTTGGTAACCGTGGAGCCAACATTCCCTGCACGAGCTTGCTTACAGGCAAATGTCACATCACGTCCCAAAATCATGGTTACGCTGTCGACACCAAGACTTTGAAGCAGGGTTGGGAGGAGCTTTTTGTCAACGCCAACGACGGGAGTAACGAAGGTATCCGACATGTGCAAAGGCCCTACTTTAGTGTTCAATTCCATCCCGAGCACACCCCTGGTCCTCGCGACACGGAGTACCTCTTCGACGTTTTCATCAGCACAATCCAGAAAGCCATCAAGGCTCCGGAGATCATGCAAAATCCAGTAGAGTTTCCTGGTGGCACAATTGAGGAGAACAAGAAGCTGTCACCTCGGGTTGATGTCAAGAAGGTACTTGTCCTTGGAAGTGGAGGTCTGAGTATTGGACAAGCAGGAGAATTCGACTACTCTGGCAGTCAAGCCATCAAGGCGCTCCGTGAGGAAGGCATCTACACCATCCTGATCAACCCCAACATTGCAACCATCCAGACCTCCAAGGGCTTGGCTGACAAGGTCTACTTCCTGCCAGTGAATGCAGACTTCGTTCGCAAGGTGATCCAGAAGGAGCGACCCGATGGCATCTACGTTACATTCGGTGGACAGACTGCGCTTCAAGTTGGTATTCAGCTCAAGGATGAGTTTGAAGGTCTTGGTGTCAAGGTTCTCGGAACACCAATCGACACTATCATCACAACCGAAGACCGTGAACTCTTTGCACGAAGCATGGAGTCCATTGGCGAGAAGTGCGCCAAATCAGCCTCAGCAAGCAATGTCGAGGAGGCCATGCGAGCTGTAAAGGATATTGGCTTCCCTGTCATCGTTCGTGCTGCCTATGCGCTAGGTGGTCTGGGTAGTGGTTTTGCGGAGGATGAGGCCCAACTTCTCGACCTCTGCAACAAGGCTTTCGCGGCCAGCCCACAGGTGCTTATCGAGCGCAGTATGAAGGGATGGAAGGAGATCGAATATGAAGTTGTCCGAGACGCCCGGGACAACTGCATCACGGTGTGCAACATGGAGAACTTCGACCCCCTGGGTATTCACACTGGTGACTCTATCGTTGTGGCACCATCTCAGACACTATCCGACGAAGACTACAACATGCTTCGAACGACTGCTGTCAACGTCATCCGCCACCTGGGAGTCGTTGGAGAGTGCAACATTCAGTATGCTCTCAACCCCTTTTCGCGGGAGTACTGCATCATCGAAGTGAACGCTCGTCTTTCACGTTCGTCTGCTCTTGCCTCAAAGGCTACTGGATACCCTCTTGCCTTTGTTGCCGCCAAGCTGGGGTTGAACATTCCCCTCAATGAAATCTCCAACTCGGTCACCCGTGTCACTTGCGCGTGCTTCGAGCCGTCTCTCGATTATGTCGTCGTCAAGATCCCTCGCTGGGACTTGAAGAAGTTCACCCGTGTTTCCACCCTTCTTGGTTCATCCATGAAGAGTGTTGGTGAGGTCATGAGCATTGGGAGAACATTCGAAGAAGCCATCCAGAAGGCCATTCGCGAGATTGACCCCAGCAACCTGGGTTTCAACGAGACTGCCGCGCTTATGGAGATTGACCAGGAGCTGCAGACCCCTTCAGACCAGCGCTTGTTCGCTATTGCCAATGCGATGAAGTCTGGCTACAGTGTCGACAAGATCTGGGAACTGACCAAGATCGATAAGTGGTTCCTCAGCCGCTTGAAGGCACTGAGTAATTTTGAAAAGAGCATGTCGAGCTACGACACAAACACCATTACCATGCCACTGCTAAAGCAGGCTAAAGCCCTAGGCTACTCTGATCGTCAATTGGCCAAGTTTTGGGCTTCCAACGAGCTCGCAGTCCGTCGTGTGCGTGTTGACGCTGGCATATTCCCCGTAGTCAAGCAGATTGATACTGTGGCTGCCGAGTTTCCTGCTGTTACCAACTACCTTTATTTGACATACAATGGTACTGAGCACGACATCACCTTCAATGACCACGGTGTCATGGTTCTTGGTTCAGGTGTCTACCGCATCGGTTCGTCCGTTGAGTTCGATTGGTGTTCCGTACGAGCGATCAGAACCTTGAGAGAGCAGGGATACAAGACTGTGATGCTGAACTATGTAAGTGAACGCCTCCAGTCTACGATTTTGTCTACGATTGCATCTCCCTCAGAACACAGCATTGGCCGATTAATCGATTGCAAAATCGACATCTGTATTCGAAGTTCTTCTGGAAGCTTATCAATTACTGACAATGCGTGTGTTAGAACCCAGAAACGGTCTCTACTGACTACGATGAGGCTGATCGTCTCTACTTTGAGAACATTAGTCTGGAAACTGTGTTGGATATTTACACTCTTGAGAGTTCCAGCGGTGTCATTATTTCCATGGGCGGGCAAACACCAAACAACATTGCCCTTCCTCTTCATCGTATGAATGTCAAGATTCTAGGTACCTCGCCTGAGATGATCGATACTGCTGAGAACCGTTACAAGTTCTCTCGTATGCTCGACCGCATCTCAGTTGACCAGCCCGCCTGGAAAGAACTCACGAGTATTGAAGAAGCCACGGAGTTCTGCGATAGGGTATCCTACCCGGTGCTAGTACGCCCTTCTTACGTCCTCTCTGGAGCGGCCATGAACACCGTCTACTCCCAGCACGACCTGGCGAACTACCTCAACCAGGCAGCCGATGTTTCCAAGGAACATCCAGTAGTCATCACAAAGTACATTGAGAACGCAAAGGAAATTGAAATGGATGCTGTTGCGCGTAACGGTACCATGATCGGCCATTTCATCTCCGAGCATGTTGAAAATGCCGGTGTGCATTCCGGTGACGCTACGCTCATCCTCCCCCCACAGGACTTGGACCCTGAGACCGTTCGACAGATCGAGGATGCAACACGGAAGATCGGGATGGCGCTCAACATCACGGGACCATACAACATCCAGTTCATCGCTAAAGACAACGAGATCAAGGTAATCGAGTGCAATGTCCGTGCCTCGCGATCCTTCCCCTTTGTCTCCAAGGTCATGGGTGTTGACCTGATTGAGATGGCTACCAAGGCTATGGCTGGACTTCCTGTGGTTGAATACCCACCCGTCAACATTCCGGCAGATTACGTGGGTGTTAAGGTACCTCAGTTCTCTTTCTCTCGCCTGTCTGGCGCCGATCCCGTTCTTGGTGTCGAAATGGCATCCACTGGTGAAGTGGCTTGCTTTGGTCGCACCAAGTACGAGGCCTACATCAAGGGTCTCATTGCCACTGGTCTTAGATTGCCCAAGAAGAACATTCTGCTGTCGATCGGTTCCTTCAAGGACAAGATTGAGATGCTTCCTTCGATCGAACGCCTGCACAAGCTTGGTTACAATCTCTTTGCTACTGCAGGAACGGCCGATTACATTCAAGAACATGGCATCCCAGTCAAGTTTTTGGAAGTTCTCACAAGTGGAGAGCATGATCCTCAGAAGTCAGAGTACTCATCACAAAAAAAGAAAATACGAAAGGCAAAATCAAATTTTGTTC